CTTTAAAGCCCAGCCAACGTATGATGGTTTCGTTAAACCATTATCCATTAAATATCAAAGCCTCTAATGCTTGTTGCTTCACAATTGGCCCACGGTACATCCACATGTTCAATTAAATGTGTATGCAATATGGTATCTATGTATTGCCTTTATTTACTCTCTCTGTCTAGGTTTTAACAGATTAGCATGACAGAGCTGAACAGATTTATTTTGTTCGGGTGTAGAAATAAGATAATTCAACTCCAATACTCGCCGAGTGACAGTATATGGTCCAGAGAATTTTGCACAACTTGGTGAAGCAGGACAAGTCAACAATACCTGACCTGGTCTCCTAGTTCTCTCGTGCATCTCATCCTAAACCCATTCACACCACAGGCCCACAAGTAAAAGATGCTCAAATAGTTGCCCCATAGCTGGTAAGGGACATAAAGGAGCCGGTTTAATTGACTGATGTGGAAAGCTGCTTTGAAATCTGTTTTGTAAAAAGTGCTATATAAATAAAGGTGACTTGACTTGATCCGTCATTTGACATAATATGGCACGTCTAAAAGGGTTAGTTCACCTAAAAATAAAAATTCTGTCAGTATTTACTCACCCTCATGTTGTTCCAACCCCGTAAGACCTTCGTTCATCTTCGGAACACAAATTAAGATATTTAAGATATTAAGATCACTCCTGTACACTAGTCCATAGGCTTCTTGAGGGAATGACATTTGATGGCATCTAAAAGTTATTAAAGACATCGTTAAAATAGTCCAAGTTACTACAGTGGCTCAATCTTAAGTTTATCAAACGACGAGAATACTTTTTGTGCGGCAAAACCAACAAAAATAACGACTTTATTTTGAAATATTTACTTCCTTCTCCATGGGCCTGTAGTCAGTTAACGTAGTGTGATAGCGTAGAGCTACAGTACGTCACACGTAGGCTCACTATTGGCCGACTCTGGTCATGTGTGTGATGCGTGTGAGGTACAATAACAGAAGCTTACGCTATTAAACTAGTAACCTGACTCGAGGCAGAGAGAGAAATAAACTAATAGTTGAAATAAAGTCGTTATTTTTGTTGTTTTATGCTCACAAAAAGTGTTCTCGTCATTTGATAAACTTAAGATTGAGCCACTGTAGTCACTTGGACTATTTTAACGATGTCTTTAATGACTTTTCGAGGCCATCAATTGTCATTCCCTCAAGAAGCCTATGGACTAGTGTACAGGAGTGATCTTAATATCTTAAATATCTTAATTTTTGTTCCGAAGATGAACGAAGGTCTTACGGGGATGGAAGAACATGAGGGTGAGTAAATACTGACAGAATTTTCATTTTTTGGGTGAACTAACCCTTTAATAAACTTAGAAACATATTTTTTTTAATAGGGGCCAATACAAATACCTCAAAATTCTGTCAGAAGTTTTCATAACACCTAAATACCCTGCAATGGGACCATGCGCTATGTTGAGTACTTATTCTCACAATTTTGTGGGCACTACAATCTGCACCAAAGACTCACCCCCACTGTTTTTGCTCTGGGACATCAATTTCCGTAACAGCGTCCCTTCTTGCACAAAATACCAGCTTGCGGCACTCTGCACATCGTCCGGGGACAACAGCATCAAATAAACTAGACAGCACTGAGCCCTCCCGCTGTGCAGCCACCAACTCAGCACGAGAAAAGAAAAGAAAGGTCAGGAACAGCATAATTACAGAACTTTTGCACAGGTGCTTGATCAAACTCTCGCTTTTGTTTAAGAACGAGTCACAGCACATGATGAAAACACATCTGGAACTTCCTCAGCAGCAACATCAAACTAATTGACAGTCGGCAGTGGAGCGACAATGGGTGACAGAGATACATCTGGCCACACACCCTCTCCGGCCAGATTATTACCTAAAATCACATCCACTCCTCTCACTGGCAGTGATGGTCGAACACCCATGACATCACCTTTACCAATTCAGACTGCAAAACAACTTTGTTCGATGGAACAAAGTGCTATTCTCTGAACCAGTACAGTTTTTCCCAATTACCTAAGGTAGAGATTCTCAGGAATAAGATATTTAAGCTGCTCAGTGAGAATCAATTATTGCCGGCTCTAAAATGTACACACATTAAAGGCAGCATACCAACAATCAAAAAGAGTTCATTCCCGAAGAACTTCAACATGGGTTTGTTGCTATTTTTTTTCCAAGTGTGAAAACGAAATCGATATGCTTCTGGGACTAATTCAAAAGCTTTACGAACTTGGGCTTTTACCTTCATGTAATATTTATGATCCTCCACTGAAAGCGCAGTATATGCTTCTTGAGGTCTACCAACTAATTCTGACTGAAGCATAATTGCTAGATCAGTACTAGGCCAAATCTTATCAATGGCCATACTCTCAAAAAAAGAAAAAATAGAAAAAAAAAACTTGGGTCTTTTTCATGAAATTTTGGTAGCAACTTTATTAATTACTTTCTCAAACACCATCTGCGTATAGTCTTTCATCAGCCTTGAGTTTCAATCTTTCTATTGGAAACTGATAATATTGAGCTTGTTGATCTTTGATCATGTTTATTTTTTTCTTACTCAATTTCACGCTGCTTTTAAGTTTTGCTAATTCAATTTCCTTTTCTTTTAGTTCTTTCTCACATGTTGTAGTCTGCTTAAACATGTTTGTGTTTTTTTTATCACAAACCTGCTTTGAGGCCAATATTTCCTTTCACTGTTCAAATGAAAAATTACTTATTGAAATATCTGGTGTCTGTGATCCTAAATCAGAACCTGCTATTGCCGTCTCTGACACACCATAATCAATCAATTTATTTCCAATCAACTCATCTTTTCATTAAAGTTTATCAACTGAATTAACAACCAGTTAATAGTTCTCTACAATCCCCCATGATTTCCTACATTACCTTTTCTGATGGGCAATTAATGAATTCTTATAAAAACAATCAAATCATTTCCAAACTAACACTGAAAAAATAAAATTATGTCATTTACACAATTTGGCTCACAATCGAATATCCCCCTAACTATCCCACATCCCCAATTAACTAACTCAACCTTAATTCTTCCTGGTCTTCCTTTCGGTCAAGCCTCTTTAAGCATCTAATACAGCTGGTGCAGAGCTGAACTAACGGCACCTGCCGTACCTTCCGTGCACTCAGCCGAGGAATACACCAAAAGATAAATAAAATTACAGCCTACCCGGGGAGCATAAAAAACAAATGATGAGCCACCTGTCCGAAGCCAAACACGGACAAACTGCTCCACTTACTAAGAGCGCACCTGATTCTCTTCCCTAATTGCCATTCCATGTGCCTCTAGGGGAAAAAAAAAAGCGGACGAGCCCCCATATGTAGCAACAGCCTTTTTCAAGACAAGTAACAGCTTTTAAAAAATCACAAGGGGTATTAATGATGCATTTTATGTTGTAGAATAGCATGTGATAATATCTTGAGCTTATGTTAACCACAGACCTTACTTCAGGCTTTTAACAGGGTGATGAACTGAGAAATCAAATTTTCCTTGAGCTTTTGACATCTGAAAGGTCATCATATTAAAAGAATATCCTGTAAGTTTCAGAACTGAAAACGTCCTTGTTAGTCCAATAAAAGCTTTTATTGACACTAGCCTCAGCAAACGACTCGTTTTTCAAAGTGGAGAACGATGACGTCAAAGAGGATAAAACACCACCGCCGCAGAATAAGATCAACGCCTACTTCAACACGGCCGGTTTAGCCCCGCCCACCGACTCGCACATTACACGCATAGCTAAAGAATAGATGCCTACCTCGTGATGACAAACCGGATCGAGCTATTGAGCAAAACAAAATATTGTGCAGTGCCTGGTTGTAGAAGAAGACAGTCGCAGCATAAGCTTCCTCTGGATTCCAATATGACTTCATGGATAAACTTTATTTTTAATGACATTCCAGCTGATGAGGTAAAACATTGTCCGTCTGTTTACTTCATTTCACCGCGGATTGTTTTGTAAACAAGACTGGATTTGCAGACCGATTAAGAGTAAAGAACGGTGCTGTGTCGTCTATATTGGATCTGATAGGAATTGTGCAACACAAGGACTCTGGGTCGAACACGTATGGGCGAATCATTCCGGTTGCAATTTTACAACATTGGACGTTTTCAAAACAAATAATTTCCCCACGTGCATCTACGGGTGAATTGAAACTCATTATTATATGCAAAACTGTTGTCCACTCAGTGGGCGTTTACTTCAAAGTCTTCAGTGCGAGGCGCCCATAAAAATCCAGCGTTTTTCAGCTAGGCTCAAAACGAGGCTCAATACCCTATTACTTATTCATTTTGATGTTTTTGAATGCAAAAACCAAGCGAACGTCATGAGTTGACATCAGAAAACAATATAATAAAATTTATAAAGCCAGTTCATGACCCCTTTAATCAAGATCCCATCCAAAAACACCTTTAACTGGTGTCTAGCTTTTGGCCTACAAAAATGCGTCATCACTGCAGAAATCTATAAATGGTGAACCTGACAACTCTACCAATGAGAGAATTTGAGAGCAATCTTTAATTACCTTGTTTAAAAGTAAAATTACGTGTGGTTCCCTTGGCATATGAAGTCCCTACTCCTTTAGCATCCCATCTACAGTTGTGAGCAGTTTCAGGGGAGGATACTGATCTGCTCTTGATTAATACTTTATTGATCCTCCTGGGGCAATTCAGTAGAAAGGCAATTCAGTTTCTTAGTCAGCAGTGTTCTAGCCATTACAGAGAAATGGAGCATGACTCAAGACTTAATATCCATCACCTAACCACTTGACCATGACTAATTAACAGATTCCTTTTCAGTCAAAATGTATTGCTATAACAGATTTGGATGATTTAAAAAATATGAATAGTATTTACTATTTTGATATTATATTGTCAAGCTATAACCTACTATACTGTGGATCATTTTTTTAGATCTATTTTACTGATATTATTATTAATTAACAAAGTTACTGATGATCAATCTGTTTATCTCCATGAAGGTCAGCAATGTGAACACGACTATAAGCCGCAAGCGAGAGCACCGGGTTCTTCTCATGGTGATCACCATGGTGGTCTTCTATCTACTCTGCTGGCTACCCTATGGGATCATGGCTCTGCTGGCCACTTTTGGAGCCCCTGGACTGGTGACTGTGGAGGCAAGCATAGTGCCCTCCATCTTAGCGAAATCCAGCACCGTCATAAATCCCATCATATACATCTTCATGAATAAACAGGTGAGCATAAAGAAACCAGGAACCCCAAAGTTCAGAACCTAAGGTTTAGATTTGTAAGTGAATTTGAATGTAAATGACTGGTGGAAGGATTTCTGTACAAAGAAATTCAACAGTCAACTGTAATCAGACGTTCTGTTTAATGATTTATAAGCCTATTTTATGTTGTGCTCCATGTTGAGACTGACGTAAAATATGCGTGGTAAATATGTTTCCTTCTACAATGGTCCATAAAATGGAAGTACACTAAATTTATTACTCATCAGATGTTTTTTTTCATCTAAAATGTGATCTAATTAATTTCAACTTAGATGTTAATTAGATGTTAATTTCAACATACATTTTAACATTTCGAGTTGTATTAATTTACATAAGCGAATAATTGTGTACTTAACTATAACCTTAAAGGATTAGTTCACTTTTGAAAAAACTTTTGCTGATAATTTACTCGCCCCCATGTCATCCAAGATGTCCATGTCTTTCTTTCCTCAGTCGATAAGAAATTAAGGTTTTTGATGAAAACATTCCAGGATTTTTCTCCATATAATGGACTTACATTGGAACCAGATGGTCCATGGTCCAAGAGAGAGATAATAACAGTTTCAGATGCAGCTTCAAATGTCTTTAAACAACACCAGACGATGAATAAGGGTCTTATCATGCGAAACGATCGGTTATGTCAAAACTTATTCCAAAAATGTAACTTTTCTAAGGACAAATGCTAGCCTTGCTCTATTCTGTGAGGCGCGTTTGTAACGTCACGTAATACGTAATCACGTTCAAAAGGTCACGGGCGACGTAGCCGGAATTATTAACTGTCTTTTGGACCTTGGACCGTCTGGTTCCCATGTAAGTCCATTATATGGAGAAAAATCCTGGAATGTTTTCATAAAAAACCTTAATTTCTTTTCGACTGAGGAAAGAAAGACATGGACATCTTGGATGACATGGGGGTGAGTAAATTATCAGCAAAAGTTTTTTTCAAAAGTGAACTAATCCTTTAAACTTTCTACACAAAACTTACAACCAATGGTCAAAATGCATTTTTTTTAAACCGTTAACACTTTTATCCAGTTGCTTGGATACAATATACATACACACAGTACCATTTGTTCATTAAACTAAAATCACCTGTTCAAAATAACAAACTTAAAAGTATTACCATTCCAAAATTTATCAGATTATCTTTTTTTTAGGCCCCTGTCTTGAGAATTTGCATCCAAAATATAGGGTTAATGGACATGTAAGTACATTCAGTGATCAATCGTATCAGGCTGCAAAAGAATTTTCCTTTTGAAGAGAAACTTTAACACTGCATCTGATAATGATGGGAACGCCCTCATTGTGACTAGTATCTGAATATGTGTAACAAAGCAGCGGTGAGTGTAACAGGGTGCCATCATCAGATTTGTGTCTTTAGGAGCTGCTTTCTTTGTATGCACATGTCTAAAGTAAATTTGGAAACGCCCTCTGGCAGCTCTCAAGGGCACTCCAGCTGGGGACCATTACAGCAGGTCAGGTGATCTAAATTAATTAGATGGTAGTTTGTTAAATTAATTGTTTAAATAAATGATTCTGCAAGTGCAAGTTGTCTTTAAAGGTATGAATGCACAATGCATTGTTTTGAACATTGCACAGCCTTAGTCACAAGTGATGACCATTTAAATGTTTTTTTTTTTTTTTTTGTATACACATTCTGTGTGGGCTTGCTCAAAACGGACTGATTCTCCAGACTTTTGCTTACGAGCATGAACAGAAAGTATCTCCATCAAAACTGAGTGTGCTGAGCAATTTGTTGAGTCTCCAGAAACTGGGTGCCAGGGATGTTGTGGTCCAATCTATCTACACTGTCAGCTTGATAAAAGTGATGCGACTGGTTTACTGGCCTACTCTCATGTGAAACAATCCAATTCATTGTGCTTGCTGCACCATCCGTCAAAGTGTCAGTTGTGCCATGTGGCACTGATGAAGAGGGTAAATAGCAGGCCTACACTTCCACTTGTGGTTAGGGACCTACTATATAACTCTAAAGTTGACTCTGTTTGGCTTTGAAAGATGTTTTTTAGGGCAAGTATGTTTTCCCCCTCTTGTGGAGTGTTCCACTGAGTTGTCTCAATGCATGAAAGTAGGTCTCACTGGATTAAGATGGAATGCCTTGCAAAGGTCATAAACGGTCTGTCAGTTCTGCAGTCTGAAAATCCACATCAGAGAGATGCTTAACTTCCACTAAATCCCTGATATGTTTCACTCTAGGTACCAAAACTATGGTTTGATTGATGGAGCTTGTCATTTGTCCTGTCTAGTTTTGTGTTTGAACCGAAGAGCACAACATGCATGTGCTACAGAATGGAAAGCTAGTACACCTTCCCTTTTGTGTAGCAATGAAAACCAACCTTGCTTGTAAATTATTATCATTGACTAAGCTATATATATACTAAGCTGCTAAGCTATTGATTTTTTGTACTTTTACATGCACTGTACTTTTTCATGTAACATTGCTATAGAATGTATAGACTGGAATCTACTGTATATTAAAGTGGAATTAAAGATTGAACTGCATGTTAGCTTTCTTATCTAACAGAGCAATTGTACCAAACCTTCCAAGTGTAAACACACCCCATAGGCTATTACCCTACTATATCTAATTTAGATTTCAATTTTATTAGGCATTTATTTTATGATTTAACCTATAATTGTTTAACCTAGCTGATTTAACCTAGGATGGAGAGCGTTCAGCTGAAAGATGAGAAATGAAAAATTAGCTTAGTTTGTCTGTTAACAACTGACCCACAGAGGGAAGGACAAAAATGTAACAAACTCCTAATTACATTTTCAACTGCTTCTAAGGGAATGATTTAGAGTCAAATGGTCTGTTATAATTTGCTGCAGTTGCTGCAGTTTTCACAGATTTTTAAAAGGGTTAAATGAGTCTGAGGCAGATTTTTATTCGAGCTGAGATACAGTAAACGACAGGGGTGCTATACATTTTCGCAAAAAAAAAAAAAAAAATTCTAGCTATGCTGATGCACTTTTGACTTGAAGTCCCTAGCAACCTTCTAGCAATGATTTAGAAAACACCTTTTAAAACATACTGTTATCGCTCTCTTATATGTAACAGTTAGAATATGCTCACTGTACTTTGTTGTTTGATCCAGCCTCTTATGCCCAGTGTTATTGTGATTCTGAATCAGCAAGATCCCAAAACTGTATGCTTGATCCAGCAGAAATGCAGTCTCCACTTATGTTTTGACACTATACCAGTGCATTTTGTTCAGCTGAGGTTAATTAATTTTGTGTCTAGCTCTAAGCATCCTGCCCTTACTTCTTTATAGTTTTTCAATGACTAAGGGAAAGAGGAACACAGCATTCACCCTGCTTGATTAATTACCTCATTGTTTTGATGTGCTTTGTGCTGTCTTAACATTAGGCTTTGGCTGTGTGTATCAATGTAGAAGGAATAGATCTACTGCAGGTTGCTTTAATCCAAGTTGAGCAAACTTCAGAATAGTTCAGAAAAAAACTGTTGTGCCAGATGCATACAGATGGACCAAAAGCACAGACAACAAAAGAAACTGCAGAGAAGGATGTAAAGTCATGTCTGTCATTGAGACAGATCTCTCAGGACTGTTCAGTCATCCTTGTCAGATGCGATATCATATCAAAACTTCTGTCCTGCTTTGTTGCAAAGCTTTTGTCTGCTGTCTTAAGAATTGCATATTCTAATAGATTAGCTTCAATGAGCAGTGTGCTTGTAATAGGTTTAAAACTGTCTAAGCCAGTGTGCATTTAAGCAATTTCACACGAGTAAGAATTTCTAAATATGCTGAATATCAGAACAGCTGTGATTCATCCATAGACACTATGGGCCCTATCTTTCACCCAGCGCAATTGACTATGTACACCGACGCAGTAATTTAGGGAATGAACTTGCGCTCTTGTGGGGCCATTTAGCGAAAAGAGGAGGCGTGTTCCAGCGCAAACATTCCATGGTGCTATTTTGCTGTTCCAGAAATCCATTCCGCCACTAACCAGGAAAAAAACTAGTATGAAGTCAATGACGTGTTATTCAGAAGTTATTTTAAGGGCACCCTTAAAATAATGGCCAATCAGAGACAATCTCAATGCCCAGTCACATACACATATACATATCACAGACATATATGTTGAGCACATCAACACAATGGCCAATCACACACTTATATGTTGAGCGCATCAACATAATGGCCAATCACAGACATATATGTTGAGTGCATCAACACAATGGCCAATCACAGAGATATACTGTATGTTGAGTGCTTCAAAACAATGGCCAATCACAGACATATATGTTGAGCACGTCAAAGCAATGGCCAATCACAGACATATATGTTGAGTGCATCAACACAATGGCCAATCACAGATGTTGAGCGCATCAACACAATGGCCAATCACAGACATATATGTTGAGTGCGTCAACACAATGGGCAATCACAGACATATATGTTGAGTGCGTCAACACAATGGGCAATCACAGACATATATGTTGAGTGCGTCAACACAATGGCCAATCACAGACATATATGTTGAGCACATCAACACAATGGCCAATCACAGAAATATATGTTGAGTGCGTCAACACAATGGCCAATCACAGACATATATGTTGAGCACATCAACACAATGGCCAATCACAGAAATATATGTTGAGCATGTCAACACAATGGCCAATCACAGAGATATACTGTATGTTGAGTGCGTCAAAACAATGGCCAATCACAGACATATATGTTGAGCGCGTCAAAGCAATGGCCAATCACAGACATATATGTTGAGTGCATCAACACAATGGCCAATCACAGATGTTGAGCGCATCAACACAATGGCCAATCACAGACATATATGTTGAGGGCATCAACACAATGGCCAATCACAGACATATATGTTGAGTGCATCAACACAATGGCCAATCACAGATGTTGAGCGCATCAACACAATGGCCAATCACAGACATATATGATGAGTGC